ATATAGAGTATATATATATATATATATATACACATGTATAGCGTTGGATGAGATCATGGTTTAGGATATGCTAATATGCCTCAGTGACCATAATTTAACAATTAGAGATAATAAACAGTGTATTTCAATGTGGTACGTTACGGGAGATTACATTTTAAACATATCTTATGTTAATGTATCATGATTTTTGTTAGCAGAATGTATTTGGTATTTTTTAGACTTGCAAACTTTTTTTATCGATATACTTATTAATATTATCAAAAAATAAGGTTAATATTATTAGTGCCAATTACTTAATAAGATCTTAAAAATAATATGGAAGAATACAAAGCAATTATATTAGAATAACAGTTGATATAAAGGGGAAAAAGAGGGCCCTGCTTACCAGAGCTAACAATGTAAAGGTACTTGTCATATGTTTGTATCAGTGTATTCAATGTACAGTTTGTGTTCTAGTGCAGCAGAGCTGAGAGAGGGAAGTACTTATCTCTCCATGCCATTAACAGTCATTTATTGTAGCACTGCTGTTATCATAAGCCTCACGTGCTTGTCATGAATAACTGTCAAAGAAATGTACTTTTTTTTTTGTAGATTTTATATGATTTCCTGCTATACCAGTTTCCAGAGAAACATTGATGTCCTCTTGTCTATCTTTCAATGTATTAGCAGTTTTTAAAGTGCACCTGTGCCCAGGCAATAGACATTCTAGTTTTTACATATATTTAACAAGCTGTAAAATTACCTGAAAACAAGCCCCCCAGTGATCTCTGTAGCTGTATGTATTGTGCAGCAATTTACCCATGGCCCTCATTCACACGAGAAACGGCCGGCACGTACAGCTCTGTGCTGCGTGCACGGCCGTATCGGGCAGCTCCCGGGAAGGACAGGTACTGCATGTGATTATTACGCAGCCCCTGTCCTTCTCTATGGGACTAGGCAGCCGTACGCCGCCCTACGCTCACCCACCCTGCAAGTCCGAGCCGGTGTGGGTGTCCGTACTCGTATGCTGACAGTATGGATCCTATCTGCGTCTGAGCCGGGACACACAAAACCTATATGGACCATGGGATATACGCAGGGCGGCGTACGGCTGCGTAGTCCCATAGAGAAAGACAGGGGCATCCTAATAGGTTGGACTTGATGGACTAATGTCTTTATTCAACCTCAAATACTATGTAACTATGTAACTGTGACAGTGAAGATTTGACAAATACACTTACTGAATTATGGGGATAGTCACTAGGACTTTGTACTGGATGTGTTGTTCAGCTGTAGTCATATAAGCTGTATCTAATCCCTCTGCTTTTTCTGGTGATAGGGGTTAGAGACTGGACCACTCCATAACATAACACACAGCTTTTAGAAGGATGGTTCTACTTTTTTTAAAAACTCTTGGGGCCCATTAACACTTTGCCGTTTTGAAGTTAAGATGTGTGATAAGGTAGCCCATTCATTTTGAAGGGGCTCCCACTGCATCAGTGTAGGCAAGAAAATGTAAATGTAGCATTTTTTGGATACAGCACCCCACAATGCACGGTACTGTGCTACAGTTCGTTGTGCTGCACTGTAATGTATGAGTGTCAGACCTGCATTACCTAAGGGTGCATGTTATCGCAATGCACAAGTGTGATTCTATCCACCATAGTCCACCATAATCATCTAAGTGTATGCAAAGCTATTTTTTTTAGTTTTGGATAGGGAATGTCCCAGAGACTGACCAAGAGGTCAAAGCAAGGGGATATCCCCTCTAAAGGTCGCCATACACTTTACAACCATCGCAAGACCTTAGTCTTGCGATGGTTGTAAAGTAATTTAACCGCTTGAAGACCAGGTGTTTATACCCCTTCCTGTCCAGGCCATTTTTCAGTATTCAGCGCTGCGGTACTTTGACTGACATTTATTCCGTCATGCAGCGCTGTACTGAAATGAATTTTATACCATTTTTTGGGGACAAATAGAGCTTTCTTATGGTGGTATTTAATCGCCACTACGGGTTTTATTTTTTACTATATTCAGGAGAAATTACGGAAAAAAAGTTTTTTTAAAAATGATGTTATAAAACAACTAATATTACCCACTTTTTTGGTAAAATATAAAAGACGGGGAAGCGTCGGGTAAATAGACACCAAACATGTCAAGTTTAAAAATTGCACGCACTCGCGAAATCGCAAACTCTAATATACAACACTTCCGCATTCTGACAGCGGAGAGGGGACCGGAGGGAGTTCGTGAACCGACCTCCCTCTAATCCCCTCTCAGAGAGCCACTAAGCTGGCCCGGGGCTCGCACCGGGCACAGCGGAGCTTGGGATCAGCGTGACAGCAGAGGCGGGGCCGCAGAGGGGGAGCCGCACATATCGGGACCCCATAGAAGCATGTATGATAATAATTTTTAAATTATTCGTCTTTCCATGGGGGAGTCTTATCCTTCCGCATTCTTTGAAAAAATAGGTTTCTTGATGTGTGGCCTTCCTAGAGGAATGAATAGGGTTGTGGATTTTCCTATAGGAATGAATTGGGCTGCTGGTGAGGCAACTAAAAAAAAAGTAAAAAAAAAAAAAAATACAGTTGTACTTTAAGGCATTGAATCATTTAATTGGGCTTTATGTAAGAAGTTGCACGGATGCTAGGAATACTTCTTTTGTGCCACAATAAACCAAAATACCACCCAGCTGACACAAGTTTCACCCGTGAATATTTTGTCCATATGGATGTTATGGAATAAGTGCAAAATACTAATCTGCACTTTCTCTATATGGTAGAGCTGTGTGATATTATTAGTGCTATTAACAGGGTGTTCCCATCAAACCCAACTTTCTGACATGGGAAAGAGGGACACATCATAGTACTATGTATGAAGGCAAATAACACATCCCTGCCACGCCCAAGTTAAGCACAACTTTAAGAATTAATAAGCACACAATGATTAAGGATTCATTTTTTTCATCACAACTTTTTTTTTATACTGACTTTTCAAAATAGCAAATTCAATTATTTAGAGATTGGATTAAATATTTAGTGCTGTATAATGCTTTTGATAGTTGAATTTTGCATTTTTAATATAGGTCTATGTCTCCCACCAAAATGAGGACAACTGAGGAGGAAAGAGGGAGAGAGGGATTTGGTTGCAAAAGAGAGACCCTTCCTTGAAATGAGGGACAGTTAGGAGCTATGTGTCCCTTTCCTGTGGTTTTACCTTTTCATAGAAAAATTCAGCCATCAATAATAGTTAAGGGAGAACTATGGGGTTAAGGCTTTTCCCCATAGTTCTCCTAAGGGTAACGGGAGGACACAAACTAGCGTCCTCCCGTCACCCTAGGCTCAGTATACCGCAAGCTATACTGAGACGCCGCAGTATACCGTGAGCTGCTGCTCGCGGTATACTGAGACGCCGGAGCGAATCCCGACGTAGATGACGGGATCCGCCCAGCTGCGTGAGTGACAGCTGGCTCTGCCTATCTAGAGGCAGAGCCAGCTGTACCCGCCCCCTCCCCCGTCCGTTCCGCCAGTCAGCGCTGGCAGATCGGAGCGGGGAGAGGGGAATCCAGCCCCTCCTGCTGTCACGGCAGAGAGCCGTGACAGGATCGAGAGGTGAGCGAACCTGGTATGTGTTCGCTCACCTCCCGATCTACTGAGCCGACCTGTGACAGTCTCATTGTCACAGGTCGGCTAGAACTATGAGGTGAGTGGAAATCACTCATCTCATAGTTCTCCTTTAATGTTCAGTCAAGCAGGTAGTGCAACTTAAGGGGTTGAGCTCCTCTCTTGTATATTGTTATTAATAGTATACCAAGCAACTGAGCGACTTTAAATTCAATGACACTGAATCATCAGTCATTTAGTTTTGTTACACCTGCAACTGGAATTTCAACTTGCCATAATTATTTCTGAACACAGGTGTCCTATTTAACAGTCAGCATTGTAGAATTACACTTGTGTTTTAGCATTGATTACTGGCCATATGACCTTTGTGTCATCTAATGCACTTTTCAGTATTTCAGATTCTGACAGTAACTGCTTGTACCAAATGTTCTCATACCATGGTGCCACAGACAGCTGAGGGGTATCATGAGAAAGTACTAAGATAAAGTAATACTCCAGATAAGTTGGCTGAATGAAGATAGTATCAGTTGTCATTGTACAGTAGCAACAAATGAGACCATCAAACTTGTGATTAATTAATTATGGCATTGGCTTAACACTCTGTTTAAGTCATTTGTGGGATTAGTTGGAGTCCTGTAACAGATTAATTAGCATCACTCAATTTTAAGTGCATTTGGATGTGAGGTAGTGCAGTGTTTGGGGAATCCTTTATACTGCCAGGCACACATATCATAGCTAAACACATTTATTACACTTCCTGTATGGCGTTCATGTGCTTATCTTTTTTTTTAAAGGAGTTGTAAAGTCCCAGCATATACTTTCCCCTTATACCATCAGCACTGTAATAGGAACACATACTAGAGTTGTTTTCATAATGCATAATGCTTACTTGAAAAAATCCCTTTTATGTAGTGAGTGCTGCCTTCTGTCTGCCCTTCACTTTCATCAACTTCCTGGATTTCCAGTGTACTTTGCATCTCTTTCCCTGCTACTTGATGTGATGCAACCTTGATTTCTCAACACTATATACCCATAATGCATTGCATCCAGCAAGCAATGATGATGTTACATTGTTCAGACGTTGAGTTGTAGTTTAGATGGCAGGCTTAGTTACAGTGGTGACACAAGAAGTGCATATTCACAGTAAAGTAAGCTGAGTAAAATTGTGTCAGTGCATTGAGGAAGTACATCTTATGGGCCTCTTCAATAAG